TTTCACTAAAGGTACTTGTGCAGAAAATGTAATAAAGAAAGGATTATTAGGTATCAAGTCTATTTTTAAGTTAAATCCAGAGTTTGTAGAACAAAGTAAACAATGCACTTTTTAAAATTTCCCTCTAAGTATCAAAGTGGAAGGAAATTCATTGACTTTTTATTTTCAATCTCAAATAAAATTGGTTTATCTCCCTTTATATGTTATATTAATAGACATTAATATTAGCAATTAATATGCTTGATTTCAATTTAAGGCAACCTCTTACACTTAAAAAATCAGAAATAAAAATAATGTTTTTTGAGGCAGTATATGGTGGTGCGTGCCTGTAATTCCAGCATTCAGGAGGCTGAGGTAAGAGGCTCACCATGAGTTTGAGACCAGCCTAGGGTACACAGTGAGTTCAGGACCTGCCTAAACTACACAGCAAGACCCTGTCTCAAAAAAATTATTTTTTAAAGTTTTTTGAATTGTAGTGGTATGACAATCTATATATCTCACAAAATTTTTCAAAAATTCCAAAACTTTTCTTCAAGATAGCCTATGGTTGCCTAGTATATCAATAAATAAAGACTTTAGGGAATTACTTTTTTAAAAACTGCCACATATTTTTTTTGAAGTTTGCATTTGAGATTTTAAATTTCTATTTTCTATATGTTTCCCAAGGAAGCAGGTACCATTCAGTCCCCACCAAAGTGCAAAGAAATTTGAAAGGATTTTGGAATAATTTAGTACATATAAAATCTTCATCAAGGCTCTGTAAGGTATGATTATGACACCTGAAATGGTCACTTAACAAACAGCTTTGAGACTTAACTCTGAGAAAAAGGACAAATTCTAGCAAAGTTTATACAGATGCATGCTGGTTTGCCCTAATACTCTGCCAGTCCACCCCAGGTTAGAATATTAATGGAAAGTACACAGCTGCTCTTTTGCACTGAAGGTGCTGCCTTTGATAGATGTTAGCAAAACATACTGGGGTTCCATACTCATTATAATCTTTTTGTTTATTTGTTTGTTTAACAGCATAAGCCTACCAACTCTCTTAACTGGAATGGTATCTGCCAGCACAAGAATCAACAAACTCGCAGAAGACAAAAGACATTCTTGGTTTCACTGGTCCTAATAAACTTCAGTGCTTCCAGACCACGTAATGTCATAGTATTATTTGTAATGGTTCTTTAAAAGGGTGACAGGGTTCAGAAATAAACTGCACATGGTAAGAAAAGCCTCCCATGGGTTATCCCTGGGAAATGAGTTGCACGGCTCTGGGAGGGGTGATGGTTTCCGGCCATTAGTGTCACTAATCAAGGCCAGCTTTGCATTTATGGGAATCAGCACCAATCAGGATGATACATGTTACGCTCTCTCAAGCAACCCTGCCTGATTTCTTCAAGGTCATGCTGAAACAAAACTTTAGTCCAATTATCTTTTATTGGAATGCTTCATTATTTTTATATATCCTTGAGATAAAAGAATCCGTGAAGTAGATGTGTGAGGTCCAAGGGTCACCAAATCATATTTAGTACCTCATGTTCACATAAAGCAATTACTGTCAACTTTCAATTAACCTCCTTACTGGAGGAAACATCAGTGTACAAAACACAAATCCTAGCTAATCTACTTGTGGTGTTCTTGTAGCCTTCATTGCAACTGAGGGGAAAGAGAGAGAGAGAGAGAGAGAGAGAGGGAATGAGAGGGAGAACACACCGGAAATGCTCAAGCCAAAGAGCTGCTTCAGGAAAATGTGAGTAGCAGTGATAAATCCACCTGGTTGCTTTTCATGCCCCTTGCCTTTCTCCCTGCACCACGAGGCAATGGTGATGCTGCTTTCCCAGGAACAAACTGACAAACAAAAAGTAGGAGGTGTAGGAAAAAGCAGCAGGAGCCCTCTGAGGAGTGGGGCAGTAAGCCACAGTCAGGGCAGCAGAGCAGGGGAGGCCTCTGAGGACCCCAGTGGTTTCAAAGTCCAGGACCGGAACCTTCTACCTTAGGATGCTGGAGCCAGGACCCACACTGCCCTGGCTCAAGAAGGGGGGGGTCTGGATGTTTTGTTCTATAAGAGTATGACTGTGTCGACCAAAACAGTAAGAGATGTTGACGTCAAACGCTATCATGAGTCACTTTCACGCGTGATGAGGTTTTTATATCACAGAGTACTCGGGTAGGGCTGTGTCTGTCGCTTGCTGGGCCCTAATGCTGTTCCCCTCCTATGCTGTGGTGAGAGGTCCAGGTTCGATGCCTCCCTTCTGGGCCAGGAGCCATGGAGGAGAGAATGAGGCCTCTTCTGGTGAGGGAGGCCTCACAGCACTGCTCCAGGAAGGTTCGCATTTGAACAGGAAGAATAAAATAACAGTGGAGTTCTGGAACCTTCTGAGTAGTTGGGGGCTCTGGAGAAAGGTAGAGAAGGGGCGGGCAGGCTCCAAAGTCCCAGCAAAGACACAGAGACACGGGGAAGGAAAGCTGAGAAGAAGCCTTGGGAAAGAAAGGTGAAAAAGCACAAAATTCAATGGTTCAATGAAAATAATTGGGGTTAAGTGCTTATAAAGGGCAAAATGCATATTTTCTGTTAATATGAGTTTGCAACAAAGTTAATGGGGTTTCTGAGGAAACGCAAATCTTAGACAACCTGTTTATCGGGGGTTTTCCTGGCCTCAAAATAAATTTTGTGCATTAGAATGAGAAATCTGTTGGTAACTGGGCAAACAGATACAAAGTCAAATAACAGAGTAAGGTAGAAACAAGGGGAACGGTGAAAAATATGAGACTTTCACAGAAAACTGACTAAGAATTTTTCTTAATGAGAAAGAAGGCGGGAAGGAGGGAAGGAGGTGAGAGAGGGGAGGGAAGGGTAATGTCGAGAGAGAAAGAAATGAAACAGAAATCTTAAAAGGTTTAGGAAAAATAATAGGCTAATGATTGTAAAGGCGAAAGTGTCTCACAATTACCAGGGAAGATTATGTCACATAAACACAGTGGCCAAGGAAAAATTTTAAAACGAATCAGTGAAGGTGCACATCTCCTATTCATCACTGATTCTTTCATTTCTTCCAGGAATCCCAAGAACACTGATGACCTCGAGCAGCAAGCGGCCTGGGAGGTGCTGGGATGCAAGGCCAAGGCGACCTGCTACCCGGGAGCACACCCACCAGGAAGGTCGGCTGGCCTGTGCAGAAATGCAAGTGTGATGCTGAGGCTTCTGCTTAGGAAGGAGGCAGTGGGGATGAAGAGGGTTTTTATTCTTCTCCCTGCTTCCCAAACATGGACAGTACAACAAAAATAGTGAAGTGTGGAGAAAAATATCAGTTGTAACAAAACAAATAAATAAAAAGGTCCAAAACTTGCCTTAGAGCCATAAAACATACAAACACTACATGTAGGAAGGACACATAGAGTGGATAAATGCAAAAAAGGTGGAGAAAAATTTCTCCAAAGCAAAGTCAAAAGTATCTGAAGGGCACGAGCAATGAGCCCTAGAGAGGGTCAACGTTACACATCCTGCAGAAATTCAAGGAACCAAGGGATTTAACAAACACACACACACACACAGAGTTTGATTTCTAGTGATTGCTTTCTATTGAAAGCATATCTACATATTTACACTTTATGCCAATGGGAATTTTCTTTTGGATGAACACTCCGATAGAAAGGATATGAGTTTTGTAAATGAAGTTCAAAGAAAGAAATATTAAATGATATGTAAAGCATTTAGTTCTGTTATGTTAAAGAACAGAATTTGAGAGATTTGCTAGATCTCTTCAATCTGAGCACCCATTTATTTAGGTTTTCAGCCAATAAAATGAAGGAAGGAGACGTGGTGTAGCTGGGTTATAAAGCTCCTCTGGCCCTGGTGCTGTTCTCCAGAGCTAAGTGCTACTTTCCCCAAGAACACAGAACTCAGCACACAGAAGACGCAACTCAGCACCAAGCAGGCGAGGCCTCCGCCCATGACAGACCTGACAAATGTGAGTAACACCCGCTGCGAGGATTACACAACAACTTTCCAACTTCTGACAATGAACCTTGGACTTGTTACTTGTGCTGCCACATCAGTGGGGCTCCTGTTTTTCCCCAAAATAAGCCAATAACAGACAGGCCTGAGTGTGAATTAGGTAACACGCTCTTACCTGTCATCACAATCAGACTTAGAAGAAGTGTCTCATTCTTCTCCTGGCTATGCACAAGTGGAAATACATAGAGTATTGCGGGTCCTTTAAAGTAACATGGTTTATGTGCAGACACTGGAAAATGAGCAGATTTGTGAAGGAAAATGAGCTACAGAGGAAATTTAACTGAAACAAAGAAAATCAATGAAACCAGAAGAGACTTGAACATTAAGCGGCATTTACTTAAGTGATATTAGCTAATGCTGCAGTGAAGTAAGTGAAGAAGTGTGAGTTCATGCTCAGTTCCTTTCTCAAGTTCAAAACTACTGAAAGACTTAACCCAAGGAACATACATTTCAAGTTTGGGTTGCTTAAGAAACTTGTGGATTGAACTACACTCCCAGGAAAATTCTTACATTGGATTCCTAAGCCCAGAACCTCAGAATGTGACACCAGTAGGAGACTGGACCTAATGTTGTGCTTTAGGTGCTGTAGGTTAAACGAGACCTCTAGGGGAGCCCTGATCCAATATGACTTGTTTCCTCACAAACAAACAAACAAACAAACAAACAAAAGATATGGCTATTCAGAAGCCAAAGAGAGGGCAGCCTCAAAATAAACCAGTCCTGCTAACACCTTGATCTCAGACTTCTAGTCTCTCAGGTGTGAGAAAATAAAGTTCTTATACCGGCAGCCCTGGTGAATTAATGCAGAAATCACAGGCTACAGGCACAGCTCAGTGGTGAACGTGTACTCAGCATGTGAGAGGGCCTGGGTTCAACCCCCAGCATCACCAACAGCATGAAATCTCTCGTAATAAGCCCCGCTTTCTTACAAGTGTGAAACAAGACCCACGCTTCTTCTGCAGCTCAATGCACTGTACATCATACTCACCAGCCCAACAGGAAAAGCCAGCACGGCTAACATCCAGTCCCGGAGAGAGATGAGCTTCTTAAGCTGCCGCTCTTGCTCTTGGTTTCCACTTCCTCTGGTCAAAAGACTGGAAAGATCAGTCAGCACGCAAATGCCGAAAAAGACGGCCTGGATAACCTGGAGGGAGACAGCCGCCCCGAGCAGGTCAATGAGTGCTGAAAGGACTCCAGCTGTGAAACAGAAAAAGCAACTACACAATGGGAACACAACACATGGTAGGAAAAGATCAGAAGTCCCTTTTAAGAGCTGGCCTTAAAAGTAGGGAATAATAAAATATTTACAACTTGCCATGATAGGTGCCAAAGTTTATCTGAAAAACACTACTGCCATCCATCCCCACTCCCCTCAGGACATGTGCAAAACATCCATGCATAGCCACACCTAAAACTCCCAGCAGAAAGCATTATCAATGATCAGGCTGACATGGCCATCACTTTGAAGCATCACATCTGTGGTCATGCTATTGACCAGCAAGAGTTGCAAGCTTCTAAGGAGTAAAAACAAAAGGATGAGGGTAGTCTGAACAATAGAGGAGATAATTCAGCCTAAATATGAAGAAAGAAACTTCTTTAATCTCCTAGATTTACACATTTTCCCACTCAGGGAAGTGGTAGAAAGCTGCTCCTGGAGTCATAAAGACATCAACTGAACACAATAATCCAGACTCTGACATGGAACAATTTTCAAAGTAGAGCTAAATGACCGTCTCCTCAGATTTTTCAGATTTATGAAATAAAATCTCTCCAAATATAAACAGAGATATTCAGACCATTTCCCAAACAGCTACCAGTTGTACATTCCCAAATCAATTACAAATTGAATCAGATCATTCATGTTTTACTTGAACTATCACAAGGAGAGAACCTTGAAACACGACAACCAATCATTTGTAAAATTTTTAAAGTGAAGGGCTGGGGATTTAGCTCAGTGGTTTCACTGCCTGCTATGCAAGTGCAAAGACATGAGTTCGATCCCCAGTACAAAAAAAAAAAAAAAGTTTTTCCAGTGCACTTATTAAAGAGGTTATCTTTCGGGCTGGGGATTTGGCTCAGTGGTTTCGCTGCCTGCTGCGCAAATGCAAAGACATGAGTTCGATCCCCAGTACAAAAAAAAAAAAAAAATTTTTAAGTGAAGATAAAATTATGGATGATTCAGAGCTATGAGTAGAGACAGGCAGTATATTGTAATACATCCAGGCAAACAATAATCCAAATTATGGAAAAGGCAGAAAATTAGATTCCTTGAGGTCAAAGTCTTACCCGTTTACCATTAAGGATAGATCGGGGGTGGGGGTGGGGGGTTCTGGCTTCTACTACTGGATATAGTTACTGATCACTAATTTGTAAAAGATTCAATTCACTAATTAACCCTTTAAAAGACATTCTTTTACAAAAAATTTCCCTATTGGCAGTGGAAAAAGTCTGGAAAAGCTTTGTGAATGGTCCTTCACTTAGCTACAGAATAGAGGGACAAAAAGTCCTAAAAAGTATCTAGTTCCATCCTCTTACTCAAGGTTTTCCTAAGATGCCTAAATCCCAGACTTAAGAGTAAAACTTAGCCAGTTCAGTGCTCTATTCCTCTTTAGAACTTTGCTTGCCTTTAGCTTCAATGTCTTACAGTTTATTGTCATTCTTTCTACAACCAGAAAAACCAGACTAAGAGTGGGTAACAATGTCACTACTGAGAACAACACAGGAGAGGTGTTGGCAAATACCATGTTTTGATAACTACAACTTAAATGACTCAGAGAATAATTTCAGACTTAGAAAATTTTCTATATCATATCTTAAGACTTCATGCTTGAATCTCTCTGTCAGCCCTAATGGAGTGTGAGATATTGGAGTGACCATTGAGGAATAATCATGCCAATCTGGATTGCTGTATGACCAATAATCAGGGAAATACAAATTAAAACCACAATGAGATGGGATTTCTAACCAACTGTAATCTTTTACAATTAAATTCTGTCCATACCAACTGCTGTGAAGATGTGGAATTAAACAGAAAGCTTGTGGTGGGAAGAGAAATCTGGACAAGCCCTTTGAAGTACCACTGATGCCCCAGTACATTACAGATGCACATGCTTTCTTTAGCTCGTGGCTTAAGGATGAAGGTATTCGCACTAGAAGCTCTCACCCAGGTGTACTGGTCACATCTACTGATAGGTAATGTCAGCATTCACTGCTTCAAAAATGTTGAAGCAATCTTATGTTTCTTGATAGTAGATGAGATAAATGAATTGTGCTGTAGTCACACAATGGAATTCTAATCATATCAATTTTCACTTTTACAACAAAAACTTACACTAAAAAAGACACAAAAGAAGGGCATATTTTGATAGTACTAAAATAAATTTTGAAATCATGAAGGTTTATGAATTAAAATATTAAAAAATACATGAAGATGAATGGCATTGAGTTCAGGTGCCTCCAGAGAGGAAAATGAGATTGGGAAAAGGACACAGAGCCTCAACTATATTTCAGTATAGAAGAGAAAACTCTATGTGGAATGCACTAAGTGATTACAGGTTTCCGTTTGCACTCACAGGATAAATTCACTAGACTCTTCCTAGAGTTGCCTTCCCACCATAAACAACCAGAACTTGGTTCTAAATATTTAGAACTTTTTTGACTTTAAATATTTAGAACTTTTTCGGATACTGAAACAAACACTTTTGTGGCTATTAATATTATAGGTTGAGCATCTCTAATCTGAAAATTTGAAATCTTAAGTGCTCAAAAAAAAAGAAAACATTTTGAGCAGCAACATGATGTCACACTTAGAAAATTACACACTTGACTTCATGTGACAAGTCAGAGTCAAAACACAGTTGCACAAAATCCAGCTTTGTCAGCACCCCTGAGAGGGAAAAGACCCTCCCAGCCCCTTCAGCTACAATATGTAAACTGTATTTTGTGTGCCAGTTATTAAATATATTGTATAAAATTACCTTCAGGCCATGGACATAAGGTATATATAAAACATAAATGAATTTTGTGTTTAGACTTGAGTCCATTTTGTATAGGCAAATATTCCAAAGTCCGAAAAGTCTCAAACACTACTCTTGAGCAATTTGGATAGGGATATTAAACCTATACTGCAAAAAAAACCAAAAAAAAAACCAAAACAGGAACATTTCATACTGATAAAAAGGTCAATTCATCGAGAAGGCATAATAATCTTAATAATGTTTGTACCTAAATCTCAGACTTTCAAACCAGAAGAAGGAACTGTCTGAATGTGAAGATAAATTATCCAACACTTTTTAACACAGATAATTAATGTAAATAATTCTTGGAAAGCAAATGCTTTTCAGGAGATTTAAAAAGAATGGATTAGAAATAGGAAGAATTATGGTTTAGATCTAGAATGATCCCCAAAAGTCTCATGTGTTCAGAGCTGGGGATTTAGATGGTGACTGGTGACTGAATCATGGGGTGCTGCACTCACAGTTCACAGCTGAGTGAGCTGTCAGGAGGTGGGGCGTGGCCGGAAGAGGCAGGTCGCTGGGGGCGTGGCCTGAAAGAGTGTATCTCCCTTCTGGCTCGCCCCTTTGCTCTCTGCTTCCTGACTGCCATGGGTTGAGCACGTTTTACTCTACCATCACTCCGCCATGCCACTCTGACCCAAGATAAATCTCAACTGAGCCAAAATGAACCTCAATTCCTTTATCGTTTTTTTTTCCCAGTGATAAAGAGAGTGACTGAGACATGAAGGAGCTTTAAAATGAAAAAGAAAGAGGAGAAACAGAATCTCACATCCTAGGAGAGGAGAAACACAAAGGATTTGTACATGTAATAGTCTAAACAACATTCTGCCAACTTTGTATGGTTAATGATATGTACAAATGAAGTCTACTTTCCTACAGTTGACTCATCATCTTCTTATCCACTGTGTTATCTAACACAGCAGTCCCTTCACAATTACCTGGTGGCTACTCTGTTATCTCTGTAGATCTCTGTTATGGATTGGTCTTAAATATCCCCTAAAAGCTCATGTATTAAGACTTGATCCCCAGTTGATGGCCCTACTGAGAGTGGTGGAAACATTAGAAGATGGGGCACAGGTGAAAGACGTAGATCATTGAGTGTGTGTCCTTGAAAGGCATATTGAGACCCAGGTCAGGTCATTCATATTCAGATTCATTCTCTCTCACTATCACTCTTCCTCTCCCTTTCCTTCTCCCTCTCCCTCTCCTTCTCTCCTGGCACCATGAGATAAGTAGCTTTGGTAGCCACATGCTCCCACCTTGAAATTCTGCTTTGCCCCAGGCCCCCAGCAATGGCATCAGTCAACCATGGACTGAACCTTTGAAACCAGGAGCCAAAAGAAATCTTTCCTCCTTTATGTTGCTTTTCCCAGGTACTTTGTCACAACAATGGAAAGCTAACACCACTTTTCTGCTAGCATTCCCCTGCTTCAGACTACAGTATGGCCCCTACCTCACAGGAACTGCTGTGGAAGACTTTGCCAAATAAAAACATGGAGGCTGGGGAAAGGAGGAGCTACAAAATTATCTAGTGTCTCAATATAAGGAGACAGAAAAGAATGTTGAGGGTTGTACTATCGTTTCTTCAACTCACATTATCAGGCTGGGTTGTAGCTCAGTGTTAGAGTGCTTGCTGAGCATGCACAAGGCCCTGGTTTCAATTCCCAGTACTGAAAAGAAAAAAAAAAGTCTTTGTCTTTAATTCACATTACCAAAAGATAATCTCTAAAAATTATGAGACAGTTTATCAAAATGGAGAATGGATGGACATCTTGGTTACTTGCTTAAGAAGTGTGTGAGTACAGTTAAACCACTATAGATTTCGGCCACTTTTATTAGAGTTTGATTTGAGCTGACAGTTGAGAAATTGCATTGGAGACATTTCACTTGGGGTTTTTTATTAGCTAGATGTATCGCTGTCCACTGCAATTTAAAAGTCACTAACTTTAAAATGTAAAGGGTATGTGGAGATGCACAAGTGGATCGTAAGCAAGATTACCTGGAAGTATGATTTGGCTGCAAACATTCTGCAGAGCTAGCATTTCCAAACCATCAACTCAGAGTGACACATATATTCACCATCTGGCTCTGAGTTCCCAGCAGGTTGCTTGCTCTTATTACACTCTAC